ACGACCGATTCCAACGGATGGACGATCGGATTCAAGGGATGGAAGATCGATTCACGGAACTTTCTACGGGATCGAGGAGTTAAGTTTGGCTATGCGAACAATGGTGGAGGAAGTGCATACGAACCGCGACGCCGGCGACCGGGACGAACGCGGAGGGTTTCGCGGTGGAAGAGGTGGGTGTGGCTATGGTGGGGGCGCCCCGCCAACATTCGCCTCAATCACCGCCCGGCGGCGGCGATACAGAGGACACCATCACCGTGGATACCATGCTGCCGGTGATGGCTTCTTCGCGCCGGGATACCATGCCGGGCTGCTTGACAATCGTGGCTTCGCTGACGGCGACAACAGGCGCCGCGATCGAGGGTTCCTTCGTGGAGGAGCAGATCTGGATGAGGAAGATGACTGGTGGTGGGCTGACGATGATCAACGGAGGCGCGATGGGCCGGGGTTTGGTCCCTACGGCTAGCGGCGCTGCGACGGGTTGTAGCAGCGGGAAGAGCCGGACGATCAGCACCCCCGCGGATGGGTCGACCAAAGCGTTGGTCGAGGCCGCAAACCGCACCGACGTGATATGCGCAAGGTGGACGGCGGGAGTGAGTCGCGCGGGGATCTCGGGTTTCGGGTTGAGATTCCTGAGTTTTCGGAAGGAGCGGATGCAGCAGAGTTCCTCGATTGGTGGGCTGCAGTTGAGTCCATCCTCAAGTTTAAGGAGGTCCCTAATGAGCAGCGTGTAGCGCTTGTTGCCACGTGATTCCGTGGACGGGCGGTGGCATGATGAATGTAGCTCACGAGTTTGCGGCATCGCCAGGAAAAGCCAGAGATCTTCACTTGGATGCAGTTCTGTAAGTACGTGGAACGTGAATTTCTTCCTTTTAATTATGATCATGTGGTTTATCAATAGTTACATAATTTGCGGCAAGGCCCGCGTTCTGTTTCCGGAGTATACGGAGGACTTTTATCGTCTCTTAACTCGTGTGGAGATACGTGAGTCGAAGTGGAAGTTGGTTGCTCGCTATGTGGGGGGTTTGAATATTGCTATAGAGGATATGCTTAGTCTTGTTATTCCGGAGTCGGTTTTGGATGCACATCAACGGGCCCTCATTGTTGAGAAACAGCTGGCTTGAAAGACGGTCCTGTCCAGTGGTGTTGCAGGTGCAGGTTTGCAGTCTGGGCGTGGGATACCTGCTTCGGCCATGCATTCGGGCTCAGTGCCGGCAATGGGGCGCGGATCGACGGTCAGCGGTGGGCTGCCGCGGTCGACCGGCGAGTTGGGGACGGCGCCAACCGCGAGTATGCAGCGGGCTGGGGGCGGTATTCGATGCTTTGGGTGCGGTGAGCTTGGCCATCGACAGGCAGCTGGTCCACAAGGGGCCGGTTCGCGTGCTTTGTTCGCCGAGGAGACAGCAGAATATTCGGCAGCTGCAGTATATGATGGCCCTCCTATTTTTGACAAGGAGCCCGAGGTTCCAGAGGTGCATGTCTCGGGAGACGTGGGACATGCGCTTGTCCTTCATCGCTCTCTTTTGTCCCCGCCCGTCATTTCCACTGATGAGGGCTTGCGTCGACAGCTTTTCGAATCTACGTGCACCGCGGGCGGCTGGGTGTGCTGTTTTGTTGTTGATTCTGGGTCATGCGAGAACGTGATATCTACTGAGGCCGTGGCGAAGCTTGGATTGTCGACGGAGCCGCATCTGGATCCTTATGCTCTCGTGTGGATACGGCGTGACAACATTGTCCCTGTTAACAAGCGTGTGTTGGTGTCCTTCTCTATTGGCTCTGCATATAGAGATGAGGTGTGGTGCGATGTCGTGCCTATGGATGATTGGCACCTTTTGTTAGGACGTCTGTGGCAGTTTGATCATGTCGTGGTTCATGATGGGCGCCTTAACACGTATAGATTTTTGTTTGAGGGAAATCGCGTTGTCTTACTTCCCTCGGCCCCCCGTTCTGTTCCTTTGCAACAGATGTCAACGACATTGTTTCTTTCTCGGGATGGGTAGCATGTTGACTTGGTGGGAGCAGTGGACATTCGTTCTGTGCTCTTTGATGTGGGCGACTTTGTGTGGGTTATTTTCCCGGTGGACGGACGAGTGGGCCCTTACGAGGTTCTCGATTGGCTTCCTCCAGATGGTTACCGTCTTCGCTTGCCCTCTCATGCTCGTTTGTCAGATGTTTTTCACGTGGCGCAGTTGGCGCCTTTGCATGCCAACGTCTCCGACGGAGATGAGCTCAGTCCGGATTCGAGGGCGAATCCTTCTCAACTGGGAGAGGATGATGGAGACGAGCTCGCGATGGATTTTCTGGACAAATACGATCGGCTTCCGGCGTTGATTTGATTAGTCACGTTGCATTATTATTATTATTATTATTATTATGATTATTATTATTATTATTATTATTGCTTATTTATCTTAATTAGTTGGGTAGGATAATATTTATTTACTTGCTTATTAAGTTAGGGATTTAGGATATCTTGGACTCTATTTATACCNCCCCCAACCTGTATATATAAATGCCCTAATTGGGCTGAAAAGTCACAAAACTACAAGTCCAATATCTGATATACATCCAGTCAAACGAAAAACCAAAAAAAACAACAAAGAAAAGAAAAAATACAGAGAAAAGCTGACAACTGCAGCGAGAAATATGATAATAACAGATCATGTTCTGGGAGGGAGTCCCGGCTAGAAAGTCAGCATCACAGTGTGGCGGGGGCGCCAAAAGATAGGTCCGGCTACACAAATCTGAATGAAGGGTATCCCATCTGGTCCATCCATATGAGGGTGCGGAGGCGGATAGGAATATCCTCAGGGTAAAGAATGCGTCTGTGGGGGGTGGAGGACCCGATGCCAGCGAGGAAGTCAGCTGGCCGGTTCCCCTCGCGGAAGATATACGAGATCCGTGAGCGAATCGACTGAAGAGTGGCTCTGATGCGCATGAGAGGATGCTGGATCTGCCACGTGCCATGATGTCCAGATGACAGAAGAGTGATGACAGCGGCCGCGTCCAACTCTATCCAAATGTGGGAGGAGATCGAGGCGGCAATCTGCAGGCCAATCTGAAGCGCCTGGACCTCCGCGTCATAGCTCGAGGAGGCCCGAAGAGGGGCATGAAACGCGGCAATAAGGGCGCCGCTATGATCCCTAATCAGGCCCCCACCTCCTGCAACTCCAGTAAGTCTATCAAAGGCTCCATCAGTGTTTAGCTTAACCCAAGGTGACTCGGGTTTCAGCCAGACAACAGCTCTGGGACGTGGATGCTGGACAGGCACCAGCGGAGGTGGTGCAAGGCGGTGAGGTGGCGTGCAGCCTGTCCAGTCTCTCTGGGTGAGTCTGCCCAAAGCGGTGAGGAGGGAAAGATGTCGGTCAATCTTCAACATAATATGAGAAGACAAAAAAGGGTTATCCCTATACTTCGCGTTATTCCTTTCTGTCCAGGTGGCCCAAAAGATCAGACAAGGAATAAAGAAGCTCACGTGTCTACTGTGTGTGCGGTGTTTAAAAAACTCAGAAGCTCAAAGAATGTATCTGTAGAGGGTAGGGGGATATGAGTGTAACTGGTAAAATGCTCCCACACTCTTCTCACAGTCTCGCTCTCTAAAAACAGGTGGGTAAAGTTCTCTGTCTGAAAATCGCCAGACTCGGCACAACAGTAGCAACGCGAGGGGAAGGAGAACCCTCTCGTCTGCATCACAGTGTCAATCGGTAGGCGGCGCAAAAGGAGGCGCCAAAGAAAAACAGATATGGTAGGGGTAAGTAGGTCGGTCCAGATGGCCCCAAAGAGAAGGTTAGGCCGGTCATCCTGCCGTACTTCCCCCGAAGCCGAGGTTGTAGAGAATGCACCCGAAGATGTAAGCCTCCACCTCATACCGTCCAAACCGTCCTCCGAGATAGGAATCTGCTGGATCTCATCTATCATCTGAACACTAAGGCCCGCTCCAGTACCCAAAATACTCTCTAACCTATCCCTATCCCATCTCCCCTCCGTCCACAAGTCCTTCACCTGTAGAAAGGGAAGGTGGGTGACCTGTCTAGTGCTCGAAATGGGGCCCTCACCGAACCACCACTCATCCCAAAAACTAACCTCCCCCTCCCCCAGAGACCAAAAAATGTGCTCCTTAGCACGTCTACCGATCATGGTGAGCCGCCTCCACTGCCTGCTATCGCGGATAGTAGCCGTCACTCGACAGGGATGGGCAGCGCCTCCAGGACAGTACTTCCGACGAAGATACTGAGCCCAAAGTGACTTACTCTCCCTAAATCGCCACCACATTTTGTAAGAAAATGCAGTGACGACATCCGAGAAACGCCGGACCCCGAGGCCCCCCTCAGATAAGGGGCGACAAACAGAGTCCCACTTCACCCAATGAACCCGTCTCCCTCTCCTAGAACCCTCCCCATGCCCCCAAAAATAGCGGGCCAGAATCTGATCTAGCTCGTGGAGAGTAGACTGGTGGGGATCAAGGACTGTAAGAAGGTGGAGCGGTAGGGTGCTGAGGGTGCTCTTGATTAAAGAATTTAGGATATCTTGGACTCTATTTATACTCTTGTGGGAGGAGAACAAACGTAGTTGATTTGGAGAAATAAAATATCTATTCTTACGTGTTTTCTAAAAAGAGAGTATCTCTTTTATCAGGTTCTTATTCACGTTCTACATCAAAGAGGAAAAAAAAGAGAGAAATATTCATTTGGAGTTGCTTTTGCAGTACAACTGGAGCAATTTTTTTCCCTATCTTCCGGTTTCCGTTTGTAGATTGGTTGGAGATGCTCTATTGAAAATATATTGTTTCTTTTCGTAAGATGAGCTATATATAAAAGAACATCGAGCGTTAAATGTGTTATTAGGCAACACTTCATTAAAAGATATACTTCAAATAATTTTTTGTGTTGTCATCTAACTATATATATGTAGTGTGGAAATCTCTATTTTGGACAATTGTGATATCTCGTGCATTACATATATCGTGGAGTGTTGAAATATCACAAAACAACGGCTCTAGATTATCCCACGCAACCATGATAAATTTGCGTAGCCCTGTCTTTAATCAAATCCAAATCCTCTTGACAGTGATGTCGTTTTATGACATCCTCACTGAATTCACCAAACCAGCAGTCTTTACCCAAAATCCCAATCATACTGCACTCCTCACTTGCCATCAAATTATCAATATCAATTTTTCCGCTGCACAAGACATTAGCAATATCGTTACTGTATGGTGTCGCCATGTTAACATAACAGCCTTGTGATTCTACATAGTCATCATCGGGCACAGGAGGAGTGTAAATGACACAATTTTTTTCAATCAAATCATTATCCTCGCTAATTTTTTTGGTTACTATTGGGTTCCCTTTTGTTGAATGTTTTTCGAATTCCTTGTGAAAATAGAGTTGGGGTGAGGCCGACGGGCTTTCCCTTGTCCATTTCTTGATTGCTTGAGATTCATCCAGGTTGATAATTACCATGAGAAGGATTGAAATATTGGCTATGATCTTGGGTTTGGAGTTCATGGCCAGACCAATTTTTTATGATAGGCGATGTATAATACTGATAGTCTGATACATATACACATTGGAATATATGTACACATATATATTAGATTCGCGACGGTTTTAGTTTGAGGAATTAATGGTGCGGATGCCATGTAATTATCACTACCATTTAATATTAAGTAACATAATAATAGATGTTTTGTAGGTTACATTGCAATGTAATTATCCCTAACATTTAATTATAGGTAACTTATGTAGATGATTTTTACTTTTTAAGGTTACATGGCATGGCATTGAGATATTTATTTATGGAAAAACGTCGTATTTTGCCAACACAGGTGAAAAACTAAATTTAGACATATACTTCACCTTTTGCCACAATAAACGAGTATACGACCAAACACTACTGGATACAACGCCGCGTTTTGAATTTAAGTTGATCATCGCAAACTCGTTTGTATCGGCTTCTTCTTCTTCTTCTTCTTCTTCTTTTTTTTTTAACTACCTATAGAATAAAATATCTCAACTTATAATAAATCCACCCACTTAAGTCTAAATAATAATATAAATATATTATAAAGAAAATATGATAACAAAATAATGTAAATAGTATTTAAAAAAAATAAATCTAAAAATTTGCTGCAGAGCCTGCCGAGGAGCGCCTAGGCACAGACTAGCCGTCTGGCCAATTTTTTCAGCCAATTCAAGTAAATCGGAGGCGGTTGGGCAGCGCCTAGCGTCTAGGCGGCAACCTAGGCAAATTTTAGTACAATGGTTTTTACTCTTTCGACTTCTTCCGTTGAAGACTCCCATTCGAATAGTATGGATAACCATGCACGCTCAATAGAATTGATGTAAGACTTTATGCACATATTCCATATGGTATAGTTCGAGCCTTCAAAAAGCGGGGTCCGGACTCATGTGTACTCCGTATATACCTAAAAAAAATCATATTAATTTAAACGACATGCTTTGTTGCCACTTGTTAGAGTTTTGGTACCCAAAAATTCAAATATTCACATAATATTTAATTTGTAAATACACAATAGAAATAAATGGAATGAATGATAGAAATTTAGCCTACACGTGATAAAACACTTGTAGGCTAAGACAATAGAACAAAATATTTCACTAGAAACAGATTGTTTAATCATATCTTTATTTTAGATTAGTCTATTGGTTTTTCATTTTCTGCATTTGATAATATATCAATGTCTAAGAACAAAGTGTATAAACATTCAGAATGTTTTCAAGCCTTACTATAGGGTTTATATTTTTAGTATCCCATTGGACTCTTTTTATAAATTTTGTGCATTTTCAAGTATTCTTTGCTCATTAAAGGTTAACACAAGTCGTGATGTGTTAAAAGTATTAAGAGTAAAATTAATCACAAGACTCATTTCTAGTCCACTTTTATCAATTAATTTCTTAACTATTTCAAGTTTCTTATAGTCTAAATCTGGGATCGAGGCTACATGTACTTCTCCAACAATACAAGGGATACCGGTATTGTTGTTAGATGATCTAGTGCTCTTGGATTTACTGAAGGTCTTCTTTTAAATTCATCATTATCCATTCCATGATCATTTTTATGCTAAATGATTCTGGTTTTTCCATTCTAAAAGTTTATTTTAGAACTTCTTCTTCACGATTGAAGTTTAATTTTGATTCTTATTGGGTGTGAATTTTAATTTCTTCAAATTGATAGAACTGTTCATCTTTATCATTTTTAATAATTCTCTCATTTCATAATTTGATTCTAGGTCTAAATTTCATTTTTCTTTATTCGTATTAGGAATCGGATTGCATACGCAATTTTTTATTCATCGTCTAGATCTAAATTAATTAAGTTCAAGAGAATTTTTCAAGTTTTTCTTGAAAATTTATTCTCTCAGTGCATCTTTGGACCATTTAAAGGCATTAAGATTTCTTGAACTTCCTAAGTTCTTCATTCCTACGATATCATTAGGATAGGAGTGTTTTAGAAAAGGTATATTCCTTTCTTGGTTGAGAGTTATCTCAGAGTATCTCTAATGGATTGTGAATTGTGGGATTGTATAAGTAGTCTGCTAAAAAACGTCTCCAACAATCGTTTTTTTACTTCCATTTCTGCTGATGTGGCATGAAAGAGATGGAATTATTCTAGAAGTTTTTCTATATGTGAAAGTACTTCTAGAAGTATTAAATATAATATTTTATATATATTTAAATTATCAAAATACAATTAACAAAAAACAAAAGTTAAAAAATTATAATGATGTAATGTTTATTTTATTTGTTATAACATGTATCTAGTATTTACAAAAATATTAACTAAATTTGAAAAAAAAATTATTTATAATTTAAGTCGTTGATTAAATTATAATTTGTTGGTATTTATTTTTATACACTTTATAAAGCATATTGATTTACATAAATAAAAATAAAATAGAAAAATTGATACATTTATAAAATTATATTATAAATTTAATGGTATATATTTTGTCAAAATTATGTATTAACATATTTAATACAACAAAAAAAATAAGGAAAACAATCGCGAGTTGGACATAATTGTTCTCTTAACAAAAATACTGATGAATATAGGATAGAGATGCTCTTACAAAAATAAATATTACTCTTAGAAACATACCTAATGAATATCACTGGAATAGAGATGCTCTCCAAAACACTAGGATAGAGATGTTCTCCAAACAAATAAATACGTGTTAATAAATAAATGCGTACTTTGTTTAGGTTCACTCTGAAACTATGAATGAAATTGACGAAGAGTAAAAAAAAAATACGGGTATATATATTTACTATGTTTACACATTTATCATTGGAGAGTGAATTAGTTCATTCAGTCCACTTGAAGAGAAAGCCTTATATTTAACTACCACGTAGACTACAATTCAGTGGGTCTATTGAATATGCTCTCATGTTTTTCATGACTTTTTTTTTTTTTTTTTTTTTAAAAGTTATTTCAACGAATTCCTTTATAAATTGATCATCTATACTTATATACAGAGTCATCCAATTTACTAGAATTAGTAGAAAGAAAAGTCAAAGGTAATTAATGCATTCTATTTCCATCAATTAATTTTTGTTTAATTGTTTTTTCCCATAAAATCGGTAAAAAAAATGTACGTAAAACAAAAAAAAAAAGACATATTTGATCGGAAGATAAAATCTTGATTTTAACAAAAATAAATCAAATGTCAAGCCTAAATTGAAGGGTTTGATTGTCTATATAGATATTGATTTACGTAAATCAATACATCTAATATTTATAGTTTGTTTAGATTTAAAATTCTTTCTTATCTGTGTACAAAAAATCTTTCTAATTGTATGAAAAATGTGATCTGATTTGTTCCTTTACATATAATGTGATTTCCGTATATCAAGATTTTTTCTTAAAAATCTTAACAGATATTGATTCTACTCTACCAATTATAAATTATAAATCTCGTAATGTGAAGATATTAGTTTGTGATAATGACGAGTTGTCCAATAATCAAACTTATAATGTTGTGTACAAGGAGGTCTTTAATAATACATGATTGTTTCTATGTCCCTTACTATCTTATTGTACAATTTTCTACGTATTATAAACCTTTTATTTAATATTGCATCTTATAATAATATAATATTTCCCAAATAAATATATCTCGTGCCTCGCGCGGGTCACGTACTATTTATGTCCCGTACATTTTTCTTTATTCATGTATACAATTATAAGTCTGGATAAATAGCCTTAAAATTGTGCACCCCATGCATCGCACGGGCTCTGCACTAGTTTGGTATTACCCCAAGCGATAAGGGGTATTTTGGTAAATAAAATGACTTAAAATTTTCTCTTACCAGCAAATGGCTATATTTTATGTTTTTTTAGAAGAAAATGGCTATTTAATTAAATTACCATAAAAATAAAGGCAAGTTTAAAAATTAAAATAAAAAAAAGAAGCATCCAACAGAATAAAAATAATTTTCACCCATGCAAATAAATATTCTCACTTTATTTTATTTGTAGGTTTTTAAAATTTAATTAAGCACTGTGTTGCCCTTGCGTGTAGATCAGATGAATTAAACAACCGCACAGTCAAACTATAATGTACTAATTGTAGTAACAGGCTGCTATAAANAACACTCTTAGAGAATATTGTTAAATCAAAGTTGAAATAGTGGTAATTTCATTGGCCTTGACAGAATAAAGCTATTACAAGTTGCAATACGCAGGCAGTTAAACGTTAACAGGTATGGCCATACTAAATCCGCACACAAATCATGAAAAAGGAGGAAGTAAACTAAATGTAACAAATCACATCAGCATGTAAGCCTCCTTGAGCATCCGTCCCAGCAGGACTTGGGCCGCCGTGGTCAGGTGTACGGTATCCGGCCCAATCGCCAACCCCATGCTGTCCACCGTCTTCAGGTTCGTCAGCTGCAGCCCAAACTGAATCCCGCGCACAACCTCTACATCCGATGCATTGCTCTTTCCTGGAATGGCTGACGTAATAGCCACCTGAAGCACGAAAAATAAATAAACGAAAATAAAAAAATAAACAAGGCGAAAATTTAGAAAAGAAAAAAAAAAAAATAAAGTGCCTGGATGATAGGGAGGTCTGGCAAGCACAAGTCGGCCCTTAAGTTGTTGAAGAAGTCGAGTGTCTGAGCCGCGAACTTGGCCTTCTGGTTCTTCACCGTGTCGCTCTCTCCCTGGAACCACAGCAAGGCCGTGATGGGGCTCCCAAAGGCCGTCGCTGCTGTTGCCCGCTCCACGAGACGGCTGTAGAGCCACTGGCCGCGCTGCCACTGGCCGATGGTGGAGCCACTGAAGGCAGCCGGGACGAGGCCAACGGTCACCAGCTGCCCGAGTTCGTTAACGAGGGTGGTGGCGAATGGGAGGCCTGGGCCTATTCCGTGCTGGCTGGGGAGGGTAATGTTGTCAATATCGCGGTGAAGGGGCTCGGTGGCCACCTCCCATTGCAGGTCCACGTTGAGGCGGAGGACCGATGGCGTCGGTTGGGATTCCGGTGGGACGATTCCGTCCCACGGACCGTTTTTCGCGACGCCTCCTCGGCCGGCCATGTTGCTCTGGCCAGCAAGGAGGAAGATTAGATCCGGGCATGGGCTGGGGCCAATGAACCCGGCCCGGCCCTTGTAAGACAGTGAAAGGATGAAGAAGAAGATGGAGATGAAGAGGAGGTTGACGCGGGGAACTGCCATTGCTGAGAGTTAGATGGAGAGAGAGAGAAGAGCAGTGTGTGATTCTGATGGGTGGGTCTCGCTGTCTCCTTACTTCTATATATAAGAATAGAAGAGTTCAGCCCTTTGATTTTGGCGACCTAATAACCACGGAATTATTTAGGTAAATTCTATTAGACTGTGTTTGGTTGTAATTGAGTATTAAGCTTGACTATTTCCCACAGCATTTGTTAACTTTGT